AATTTAAAGAAAAGTAATTCTCTGAATTTAAATAATTACAAGTGAAAATGTTGATATTAGACGCTTTCTCATTTTAAATAAACATTTAAAAATTTTGACAAAAATTCTCTACTAAAATAAAAAAATGTCCTTGGATATACTTGATATTTTATTTAAATTAGATTATTTTGTTTGTTTATTAATTGGTTTTCCTTTAAATATTCTTCTGATTATTTTAATTATTTTTAAAACACCAAAAGAAATGAAAACACACAGTCGAATTCTGATACAAAATTGTGTCTTGGATATTTTAATGTTGATTAATCAAATGTTTATTCAAGCGGTAATTTAGAAGGGAAAACTAGAAAATTAAAAGAATAGAATTTACATCAAGTTAAGATAAATCTGATATCGAATGATTTTACGTAATGTTAAAATAATGCTTTTAGGAGGAATTTACACTCCGTTTTCAACAACAAATTTTTTATCTATTAGAAAATATGTACTCTATAAAATAAATATCCAAAATTTCAAAGCTCTCGGATTGACCAACACGCTTATTTTTCCAAAAACTTGACTGGGGGGGGGGGGGGGTACTAAAGCACCGGTCCCTTGGGAAGCGCTGAATAATTGGGAAAGGGAACTCGATGAGAATGACGGGGGAGGGATTGAGGGGACAAAAAACTTGTCCCCTTAAATTGAGGGGACAAATTTGATTTTCAAATAGTTATTTAAGTCATTCCAAATATATAAGGTTCAGCTGTAACTCAAATCGAAACAAATAAATTCAAATTAAGAATAAAAATAATTGGAAAACATTTTATTTTCTCCATTCTTATAAGACTGATATTCTCAACATGATTATTCCATTAGTTGTTGAAAAGGGTTAAAGATATGGAAAAAACAATTGAGATAAGTGAAGGGATAACTATTGGTGAAGGGATATGATGAAACAGGGAAATAAAAGTTTAAGGGAAACGGTATCAAGTTCCCCGTTAAATTATAATAATTATTATTAATTTATAATTAAACAATTTTATAATTTTGTATAGTATTATATACTTGATACAGAAGGGAATACAATTTTTATTTTTCCTAATGGAATTTTACTTTGTTTTATGGAAGAAAATCCATTTATATGTTATATAGCTCTTACCGTTTGGTTCTATATTTTAAATATAAATATACATGGATTGTGTGTTCAATTTATTTATAGATATTTAGTTTTGAATAGGTATATACTAAAAATATTTTAAAGTATCTAAAATAAATATTATTAGGAATAAAAAAATTAATTTTCGTCGTTATCTATTTATGGTGTCCATTGCTTCATTTGTGTCATTATTTTATGTTTCGGATTTGTATTTCTTTATTTTACCATATTCTTTTGGAGGAATTAGATATTTTGATAATTTCAACAAAACATGGCCGTTTATTCAATGCAAAATGGATACGGTTATTTGATGGAATTTTTAAAAGTTTGAAATAAAAAATTGTAGAATAATGCTTTGTCACTTTCACCTATTGCATTTATTGAAATATCTGCATATTTAATAATATTTATTTGTGGATTCAAAATGGTTAGATATGTCAATTTAAATACAAATTTGAATGAAAATTTAAAAAAATTAAATAAACTTTTAACAAAAGTTTTGATTATTTTGGTAAGATTTATTTTCATAATTTATAAATCATTGGCAGAAAAATATTTTCAATTAAAAATCCATTTATCGAATAAGAGAAAATGAAGTTACGTAAATACTGAAATAATGTCCCTCTCTCAAATAATCACACCCTCCCTATTATTACACCCTTCAGAGGGAAAAAGCCAAAGAAAATGTAAAGACGGAGCCGTTCACCTTTAAACCACCACGCAAAAACGACGCTTGCTTTGGCTAGCCCAAAGAGCGCACCGAATAATCTCGGCTAAGTGATTATGACAGATCGCGATTCGCGAAAAATCTCAAAAAAGTTACGAAAGAAAGAGTTCATTTTATTAGAAATATTTTTTCTATTAATTTTTAGGCTGTTGTACCATTTGTTAATCAAGCTGGTCTTCTATTTTTCCAAATTTCTTCAAAAACAACCAACAATACAACAAATATTATTCGAATATTATTCCATATTTCCTTTCATTTAATACCTTTATTTAACCCAATTATTTGTATTTTAACAAACACCCCATATCGAAATGCTATTTTTAATCATTCACAAGTAAATCCACAATGAACGTAAAGAAATATCTCATAATTCGAGATTCTCAATATTTGATTCAGGAAGAAAGAACAATTATACATATGACAAACACTTTGTGTATAACAATTAAATATTAATCAAATATTAAATTTCGGGGCCTATAATTCGGTCCAAAATTAATTCATAAAGTAGGGAACAAAACCGTTCGACTCAGCTCGTCGAGACGAATCGAATGACATATTCCAACCAAAACTTTTACGACCCACTACAATATGTATATTAGAGACCGGCAAAATCGCACTTCCGGGATCCCGAGTCGGGATTTTTTTCTTAACCGATGCCGGGACGGGATCCCGAGGGTAATTACCCAATACCCGAGCGATAATTACCCAATGTAATTATTAAAGAATATACGGTATATACAGTATGTATGATTCCTAGTGAGCCCATAATTACAAAACTCAGTTGAGAAACACGGCCTGTTTCCTATTAACAGATTTGCTTAATTTTTATATAGGGATCTATAGAGGGATAAGCTTTTGTGATATTTAGAAGTCGAAAATATTTTTTAAAGAAGTCTACTACCGTTTTCCGTTGATTTTTGGATTTCGAGATCTCGATGATGGGAGTACATCAGAACTTTATTTCTTCTGTATTTTCTCCTGATATGACTAGATAAGTTTACCTGAATTTTTGTAGATTTTTCGAACACCCTTAATGTCGAAACTCTTATTATTTTGTGTCACTTGTTTTTAATAAATTTCGCGAAATTTCGCATTCCGTTCTAAGTTTTTTAATTTATTTAATTAAATAACTAATATTTATGGTAAGAAACAGATATGTAAATTTTTTGATTAAAGTTGAAAAATTGTTGAAAAATCGTTAAAATTTCTGGTGGTCTTATTATTTGTGTCACACTGTATTTGTTTTTAAATTATTAATTTACTTCACAAAATAAATGTAATTAAATTTTAAAATTTATTTTTCATGTTAAAATAAACAAAATTTTCTCAAATATTTTTTGTATTTTTTAAAAGATAAACAACTTTTTCACACATTTAAGAAACTTTTACATAATTTTCTGCTTTAATTATACAGGGTGACAAGAAATGTTTAGGACATGTTTCCTTCATAGAAAAAAGTTGGACTGAAGAAAGTGTTGCATGACTTGCGAACTGCTTCGGAAGGGACTTCTCTGGATCCTAACTTTTTTCATTTTTTCTATAAAAAGTTGTACTTTATTGTTCATGGAGGGCTTGAATCCTAGTTCATTTACGGCCTTCATATAAATCGATTCTCTGAGCAAACAAGTTTCCATGGCGCTTACCCTCATCGAAACCCGTGTGTTGAGGTATACTCGAAATTTGACCATGCTTATGTTCTTTGGTATGATAAATGATTAAGGTATGGCACGTTTTTTGAAGCCAACAGTCCCCTTACAACTTGAAATATTTTACTCAATTAATTGCCCCCCTCCTCAATTAATCCATTTCTCTTTTCACATGCTATACATATTTATTAAATAAATATATTAAATTAAAAATATTTTCTAAGAATTTATTTGTTAATTTTAAATAAACAAAGTTTTCTCACAAATATTTTTTGTATTCTTCCATGACATGAAAAATGAAATTTTTAAGATTTTAAGATTTATACTTTATAATTAAAGAACTATTTGGTAAAAATTATTACTTTCATTATACAACTTTTAAAATTAAAAAATTCAAAAAAATGTCCTTGGATATACTTGATATTTTATTTAAATTAGATTATTTTGTTTGTTTATTAATTGGTTTTCCTTTAAATATTCTTCTGATTGTTTTAATTATTTTTAAAACACCAAAAGAAATGAAAACACACAGTCGAATTCTGATACAAAATTGTGTTTTGGATATTTTAATGTTGATTGTTCAAACGTTTCTTCAACATGTAATTTAAACAAAGATAAACCAAAAAACATATACCTAATATCGTGTCCAGAGTGCTTTGACGCTCATACCAAAAATCGTAATCGTACCTCGTACTTGGTACGAGTACGAGGTCAAAAATGGGGGTGGTACGAGTAAATATTTTCAATTTTTTCACCTTTCCTAATGTGAGAGAGTGGCCGAGTGGTTAGTTGTTAGGCTTCATGTTGATGATTTAGGAGTGGGTTCGCTTCCTGGTCAGAGGACAAGGAGTTTTCATATTTTTTTCCATAAATAATTAATTTTATAAAATTAATTTTGTTTTAAAAATTATTCTATTTTTACATAGCAGAATAATGGGTTTATGTTCCTCTAAAATTCTTAAATTTTTTCCTTTGACTACTAAAAAGTGAATTTTTTTCAGCTAAGGCCATATGAAGTTTTCAAATTTTCGCCTGCGGCGCTGAAAGAGAACGAAATTTAGCTTGTCAAATATTCTCAAAATTTTAGCCTACGCCAAAGGGTCATAAATAGTTGGAATAGGCGACCAGACAAAACCCAGACGGAGAGAAGAATCAAGTGCGCAGACTCGAAGGATAATATTTAAATTTAAAATCAGAATTAATTTCAAACAATCTTATAATTATTTATAGTATTATATGCTTGATACAGAAGGGAATACAATTTTTATTTTTCCTAATGGAATTTTACTTTGTTTTATGGAAGAAAATCCATTTATATGTTATATTGTTTTTATAGTTGGGCTTTATATATTTAATGTAAATACATATGGATTGTGTGTTCAATTTATTTATCGATATTTAGTTTTGAATAGGTAAATGACTAAGAATATTTAAAAAATACCTAAAATAACCATTATTGAGGAATAAAAAAATTAATTTTCGTCGTTATCTATTTATGGCGTCTATAGCTCAATTCATAGCATTATTTTTTGTTTCGGATTTATTTTTCTTTATTCTACCATATTCTAATGGAGGTGTTAAATATTTTGATAATTTCAACAAAACTTGGCCGTTTATTCAATGTAAAATGGATACGGTATCTTTTAAATTAAATTTTTTGTAAAATATTTTCAAAAAAAAGTTAAATGTTTTGTCAATTTTACCTGCAGCTTTAATTGAAATATTTGCATATTTAATAATATTTTTTTGTGGATTCAAAATGGTTAGATATGTCGATTTAAACACTAATCTTGATGGAAACTTAAAAAAATTAAATAAACTTTTAACAAAAGTTTTGATTATTTTGGTAGGAAAATTTTAACTTTTCTCATAGTTTTTGGCATTATGAATTATTTATAGTGAAATATTTTCAATTAAAATTTCTAATAGAATGACTGTCATTCTAATTTCGGGATCAACCCAGAAAATCAAAACCCGAAAGGTCAAGACCCTATAGGTCAAATGACTGCAAATTAAGATGGATTTGTGGGTATTAAAAAGGATAGCGACGGATTTGGGCGGATTAAGACGGATTTGTTGATTAAGAAAGATAACATGACCAATTTCCCATCTGATCACACTCCCGGTTGACCACTCTCCCGTTATAACCAGTGTACATAAACTTTTGACCGCAGTGACACTAACTATCCAGGGGGTTCGCCTATAAGGTTGGCGGATAGTTGGAAATCTTCGGATATCCGGATCCGGATCCGGTATCCGATCCGAAAATTTCGGATATCCGGATCCGGTATCCGAACCGAAAATTTCGGATATCCGGATCCGGAACCGATATCCGAACCGAAATTTTCGGATATCCGGATCCGGATCCGATATCCGAACCGAAAATTTCGGATATCCGGATCCGATATCCGAACCGAAAATTTCGGATATCCGGATCCGATATCCGAACCGAAAATTTCGGATATCCGGATCCGATATCCGAACCGAAAATTTCGGATATCCGGATCCGGTATCCGAACCGAAAATTTCGGATATCCGGATCCGGAACCGATATCCGAACCGAAATTTTCGGATATCCGGATCCGGATCCGATATCCGAACCGAAAATTTCGGATATCCGGATCCGGTATCCGAACCGAAAATTTCCGGATATCCGGCCTTTTTTCGGATCCGGATATCCGGATCCGCCAACCTTATTCGCCTATACACAACAAATAATCTCTAATGAAAAGATGGATACTCTATTAAAAAGGATATTTTTTCTATTAATTTTTAGGCTATTGTACCATTTATCAACCAATCTGGACTTTTATTTTTCCTAATTTCATCAAAAACTAACAATACAACAAATATTATCAGAATATTAATTTCCACTTTCTTTCATTTCATGCCCTTATTTAACCCAATTATTTGTATTTTAACAAACACACCATATCGAAATGCTATTTTTAATCGTTCACAAGTACATCCACAATGAACGTAAAGAAATATTTCATCATTCAAGATTTTCAATATCATGATTCTAAAAGAACAATTATATATATGACAAACTTTGTGTATACCAATTAGATATTAATCGAATATTAAGTATAACTAAAAAAATTTTATATTTTCGGGGCCTATAATTCGGTCCAAAATCAATTCATAAAGGTCCAGAATCAATTCATTCATTTTATAAATCCATTAAATTTGAAATTTATAATTTTTACTAGCGGGTTACTTATGAATGAATTTGTGTTTAATAAAATAAACCATGTATGCTTAACTAGTTTCTGGGTGATTTTATTTTGGGATAAACCATAACTTATTTAGAGCTAGCCGAGCACCCAAAAATTAACGCGATATGACCTAGGTGATTGGAGGAAAGTCTGACTATTTGTGCTTCAACCATTCTATCAGAAAATTTTTGCCATGCCGGCAAAACACGATAACACGAATTTTATGTACACCTCATTTTATGTGGTCCTCATGCGTATAAGCACAACTGCAGTTCAACTATATTTTGACTAGTTTTATAAAAATATAACAAATAAAGATATGTAATTTTTAACAAATTATTTTCCTATACAAAATTGACTAAAAATGCTGTCCAAAACTTGTTCCGGCACAATAAAACCAGCAATTTCCCCAACAGATTCAAAACATTTATCAATAAAAAAAGCAGCCATTGCTGGGTCATTCCATTTAATTAAAGCATTCCTTGCACCCTAAACAAGTTAAATGAAAATTTTTTTAATTTTTTATTCACCTCCAAATTTTCTAAAGCCATTTCTAGACACTGAATGTGACGCTCACGAGAAAGAAAAGGCTCGTTCCCTTCAAGGTCGTTGTTGCCCAATTTTGTTAAAATTGAGGAAATTGTTTGTAAAAGAGAATCTAGACCATTTTCTTGAATACAACAGGTCCAAACTAGTTTTAAATTTCCACCAGGATTAAGGCCTGAATAAAAGAAAATTATACAAAATAATTTTTATTTTATCCGAAAAACCCATAGGACTAAAACTTTGAAAGTCTACAGTCATTTAAGGATCTAGGAAAAAAAGCAAAAATTTAGTGTTTTAGGTGATTCTATACACAATAGAATAAGGAATTTTAATATAAGTTCATGTGTAAGCCAGGAATTCAATATCCCAATTTTTTGATTCTCATAGGCAAATCAAAAAATCTCCCAAAAATTTTATATCAATTTGTCTAAAAAATCATAAAAAATTTTACATTGTTCCAACCATTTTCTTCTATCCATATCTTCTTTCAACAAATCAGTCTTATTCAAGCAAACAATTAAAAATTGTTCTTCAGGTTTATAAGAAAACTCTTCAAGTAAAAACTCCATTTCCTTCCTTATATTTTTTTCTTCTTTCAATTTTTCCATTTGATAAACATCCAATACCAAAATAATTAAATGTGCTTCAGAAGCTCTTCTCAACGTTCTCCGAATTCCTTCAACTTCCAAAGGATCGTTTGAATCTGTTCGAATACCAGCGGTGTCTATAACGGTGACTAACTGCTTTCCAAGGTGAAGACGTGCTTCTAGACAGTCACGAGTTGTTCCACTAATATTTGAGGTAATAGCTATGTCTCTTTCTGCTGAAAATATTTTTTTGATAGATTTATATAGAAATTTTAATTTAATAACTTTTGTTGTATGCGGGTTTTCTTGCAAATTAATTTGGGCCGAGTTATGGCCAATGGTTATTCTCTATTTTTCTTATAATCAGATTATTTTTTTGGTAAAATATTTTCTAATTATATTAGAATAGTTTTCAATAAAAAAATATATAAAAAAGGATAATAAAATTTAAGAAAAGCTTCAATCCCTTTGCCTACATTGTTACATTTCTACTACGGATAAACTGTTATTCTTGTGGACGTCAAAATCGGACAACCCTTGGACATAAAAAAATATTATCTAAAATACCCACTAGAAACTAAAAAATAAGAGAAATATTTCCCAAAATAAATTAAAACATTTTTTGTCTACCCCACCGGTTATCCAAAATTACAATAATAATTATTAAAAAATATACCCAATCTATTCATTAAACTGCTCTTGCCAACATTAGGTCTTCCTATCAAAGCTACACTCATTCCTGACCGAATTAATTGGCCTCTATTAGCAGATCTAATAAAATGTCGAAGTTCGCTAGAAAGAGTATCCAAATCAGTTTTAAATTCTTCATCTAATGTGTGTTCAATATCCCCCAAATCTTCGGCAAAATCGATTCTTTAAAATTAAATTAAAAAATATTAATCAGAAAAAAACCTCGCTTCCATTTTTGCACGAAATTTGACAAGTTTTTCTCTTAATGGAAGCAAATACTCTCCAACTTTGGACTGGGCATGGCTTAGTCTTAACTAAATTAAATGAAACGTTTAGTAAATAAAATATTATATTTTAATTAGGGTTGCCGTTTTCGAGTCGGACCGACAATTGTGTCATTTTAACGGGCCTCTTTCTTATCGAGTTGGGCTGTACGAGTCTTTTTCGGGCCAAAAATCCTATGCCCGACTCGATCTTTCGGTCCGAGTCGGTCCATTTTGGCAACCAATTTTAATGTCTATGTTGACGTCAAAAATCAATTTCAATCCAAATTCAATGTCTTGGTTTCACAGAGCCAAACAACGTTTGAAACCAAGACATTGAATTTGGACTGAAATTTTGGCTGACGTACTTCGTTTTTTCAGGGCTATGGCTAAAATGAATGGGACCATTAGTTAATTTAAATGAATCTTGGACAGTTATGAAATTGAATTTGGGTGCAGAAATAAACTTTTATAGATGGGATATTTGGTGAAACTTTCGTGGAATAAGCTTATCTATTAGATTTTATTTCACATAACTTCTAAAAGCTTCAAAAATTATTAAAAATTACTTGAGCTTCCGACTGTGCATTTATTAAATCACCAAGAGCCTCAACTTCTGCTGCATTAATTTTTCCATTGTAAAAGGCTCTAAGTAAACAAAAATTTCAAAAACAAATTTAAAAAACCTTCGAGTAAATTCCCCAGCTCTAGCCGGTTCAAGCCCTTCCAAATCAGCCAATGTTGCACAAACAGCATCAATAACAGCACGACTACCGTGAACGTAAAGCTCGGCACTATCTTCACCGGTAAACGTTTTGGGGCCTTGAATAAGTTAAATAAAATATTTTTATAAAGGAGGTACTTTGGCATTGCGGACGATAAATTTTTTGAACCATATTTTTATTTTTTCAGCGCCCGAGGCGAAAATTTTTTAAACTTTGGAGCTCATGAAGCCAGATTTCATACATTTTTCGAGCTTTGGCGAAGATTTTTTGAGCTTTGGAGGTTGTAGGCGCAAAAAATTCACTTTTTGATCATCCCTCTCTTAATTTCTTCCCTCTTTCCCCCATTTCAGGGGAGTGGGGGGGGGGGGGGGGCTCTAGCCCCAGAAACCCCCTTGGTACGCTCTTGCTAAATACTAAAAGGAAACAGAAGAAAAGGTAAAAGTCAACAAAAAAATCCCCTCGTTGTCTATATGCACAAAAGTCAATAGAAAAGTAACCTTTCATAGAACAGGCCATCGCTCTGTCCAACAAACGTCCTTCCTTATCAAAAATTGGAGTGTAAAATAACCGGAAGGGTTTAAATCGCTCAGAACGTTTTTGAGTAAGTTGACGCAAAGCAAATTCACTTTCAGTTCCTAAATTTCTAAAATTATTTTCAATAATTTATGGACAAAAAAACCAGAAATTCTGAGCACAGCAATGGCAGAAGGCGGTGAACCTGAGCTTAGAGCAAAAATTGTGCTAGCCATACGTCTAAGGGAAAATGATGTACCCGGGCAGTGGTGACAGAAACAAAATAGGGATTGGGAAAACATTAAAGTAAAATTTGAGCTAAAAATTTAATTAAAACTTTTGAACTAGGGTTGTTGGCGACCGGCTTTAAAACTGGAATTTTTGAAATTTTTTGTTAATTAGCCGTTTTTAGAAAATTTTAAAAACCGAAAACCGGAAATTTGTGAAAATGAGTGATTTTTAAAAAAATTCCTCCAAAATAAAACCGGTATTTGTCTAAAATTCAAAACCGAGTTTATAAAATTTAGATTAATCGAAAACCGGGGGTACTGGTTAATAACCGGTCGCCAACAACCCTATTTTAAACTAAAAATTCATTATACTCTTTAACTATCAAGGAAAAATTTTAAGAGTATATTAAAAAGTAATTTAATGATTTAACAAAAAAATAATGTAATGCCTCATCATAATAAAAATTTTATTTAAATTTGAGAAAAATATTTAAGAAAGATGTTTAGTACAAAAAGGTAAAGTAACAAATAAAAAAACTCATTCTAAAATAAATAAACCTTTTTGCATAAAATAAAAATCAAGAGAAACAAATAAAATAATCACATGACATCAAATATTGCTTTAATTTTTTAGGTAATGGCAATTGTTGAATTTTGGAAGTGTCCGTTATGTGTTTTCTTAAATTTAAATTGATGAAGTTAAAAATAACAAAGATTAAAAAAACCTTATTGAGAAACGGCAAGCACCTTTAAGTGAAGGAACGAACTGATCTCTACGTAGAGGATAACTGAAATAAGAATTAAAAGAACAAAAGAAATGATTTCAAAAATTTGAATTATAAAAGAATATGAGCTGTAACTTTTTTGGGGTAATATTGAACCTGACGGACCCCTTTTTTTGCTCCCCAACTTTTTCCTATATATCTACAAAATGGTCAGAATTTTTCCTTTCTTCTATTTCATTTGCCTATCTATATTTTGCTTACAAAACAATCAAAAGGACTTAATTCTTATTTCCACTTGATGGAAGAAAGGAAAATTGGGATGGAAGAAGGGAAGAAGTCTTACGATTCTGCAAATATGTAGGAAGAAACTTGGGTGAGGAAAAAATGGGATCTGTCTTTGCTTTAGAATAGAGCAAAAAATAAACTAGAGATGGAAGTTTAAAAAACCCTAAGGCTTATACAAATTTTAAGATAAACCCAGCGATTTAAATTTGCGTTAAAAAAGAAAACTTCTCAGAGATAGAATTAATAAAAATAAATAAAGAACTAAAATAGTAAAATAATTAAAAATCCAAACCGAATATCAACTTGTTGAGAAACTGGATTTGTATGTAAAGGAGGATGCATTAAAACTCTCAAAGGCCTACTATTCAATTCATTTTCATCCCCAACTTCAGGTAAAAATTCAGAAACGTCTTTAACAGCTGGAGAACAATTCGCAATTATATCATTGATAAATTGAGGTAAAGATTCAGTTCCAATTAAAGAACGTGGGCCTCCTAGACAAAAACGGCCATTGAAACAGTTGATTCTTGTATGGTAAATTCCGTTGTTTGTTGAGTAGGAGAAGGAAAAAATTGAATTGTCAGAGCGAGAGTCTCGAACTAGAAATGTGCCAGGTTGAGAGCCTTTGAGTAATTTTGTGGCAGTTGATGGCGAAATTGATCCCCAATACCATTGACACTTAAAAAGAAATAAGTAGAGTAGAGTTATTAAAGAGCACAGACTCAATCCGTGACCAGAAAAATCAATGGGTGGGAGAGAGGAAAAAGAGCATTTCTAACAAGGAGAGTTGCGAGGTGTCCGCCCTAAAAACGGTCGAGACCGGACTCATTCGATAGAGAATGTGCCCTTTCTAGCAAAGATTTTGAGCCGTTTTTGCCTGTTTATTGATATGGCCGGCAAAATCGCACTTCCGGTATCCCGAGTCGAGATTTTTTCTTAACCGATGCCGAAACGGGATCCCGAGGGAGAAATCCCGAAAAAATCCCTAATCCAAAAATCCGCGATTCTAAATTTTTGTATTACTACGACAAAGCCTTTGATTTTTAGCGCCGAGACAAAAATTTTTGAATATTTTTGGAAAGCAATGAATCATATTCCCTGATTTAGTCGATTAAAATTAAACCAAAACAAACCTCTTTCAATTCCTCCAACATTCTAGTAAAACTCCTGGGATCTGGTTGTCTCTTTTGTCCATTTTTGGTATTTATTGAAGATAAAGTTGCAATCGCCATTCAAATTTAACAAGGACAACGCATCAATAACCTCAAAAATGAATAGAAAATCGAAATTATTTTTCTGATACTCTAATGGAAATTAATTCGGAACGTCCCACTTGTGTACCGGCCGTTTGTGTACGTGGCCATGTTTTGGGCCATAACTTTTTCGATTCTTAATTGATTTAAATATTTTATATGTCAATCGAAAGCCCTGGATGTGAGGATTATTTTTGCCAACAGGAATTATTTGATCAGATCATTACACAAAAAGTTACAGCCAGATAAATGCGTGCAATCGTGATTTTGATCTTTATCTGGCTGTAACTTTTTGTTTGTTGATTTGATCAAATAACTCATGTTGGCAAAAATAATCCTCACATCCAGGGCTGTCGATTGATAAAAGATTTATCCGAATTGGTTGAAACTCCAAAAAGTTATGGCCTAAAATATGGCCAGGTACACAAACGGCCGGTACACAATGATCCCCTACCCAAATTAATTAAAATTTTTTAAAATTGGCATTCTGTTTATTTTTATTTAAAAATTTTTGAATTTTTTTTTAAATCTGAAATTTAATTTTCTAATTAAATCTAGGCTTCGATCTCGAATTTTTAAAAATCCGCAATTTTGATCGAAAAAATCCGCATTTAATATCAAAAATCCGCAAAAAATTATCAAACACAAAAATTGAATTAAAATCACTTTATGCGTTATATTTTTTGACTTCAACAATTGAATTGAGCAATTTTTTCACTACTAATGACTATCCTTATTAAAATCCGAACAATTAAATGAAAAATTACGGTTGACTTGAGCCAATGCTTTCACTGTCCCTAGGTTATAGTGAATTGTTTACTCGAAAAATCGGCCTTTTTCAGCGCCACAGGCAAAAAATTTTGAGGATTTTGGAAGGCCAAGAAGCCAAAAAATAATGACATTTTATACTGAAAACTACAAGAAAATAGAAAAAATCCTTATAATCTTCAAATGCCCACAAAAATCCGCAAATCCGCATTTTTAAAAATAATCCTCATCGCCCTATCAAAAAACCACAAAATGAGGAAAAATCCGCATATATCGAAGCCTTGAATTAAATTGTAGTTAATTGTTGCAGTTTACCTTTGAAACGTTTAAATAAACAAAATAGAAAGTGAGATTTAATTTAAATATCTAATTTATTTAAAATATCTTTAATTAAATCAACCATTAATAAATTTTTAAAGTCAACCCTCTTACGTAATTTTATTTTTTTTCAATTAAAGAAAGGAGTATATTTAAAAATATTTTCTCTCAATTAATTTTCCCATTAATAAAAAAATAAGTAAATTTGCACGATCAGTCGCGCGTACTTTTGAAAATCTGTTGTTTTAAGAAATTAAATTCTCAATCACGCCTCGTTTTTTCTTTAAAATCTGACTTTTATGCATGAGGGCGTTAGTAATAGAATTTCTTCTCATCCGGGTACTAATTGTTTTTACAGTGAAAAACACTAAATTATGAGTTTCGAGACTAGAAAAAGATCTTAAAATCGGAAAAACGTCCATCTTTCTACTTTAATAAATACATTTAAAATATGTCCGATTTAAAAGTTACATATGTCTGATATTTTCTGATTTCTTTATTTCTGGAAAATAGAGAATTAAATTTGCCTTAGAATTTATTTAGAGTCAAAATTTTTGGTTAACTAACAGAAAAAGTTCGGCAAAAACCTCAGAAATTAGCTTAAAATTAGAGCAAAAGGCATTGAAGTACTAATTGTTTTTACAGTGAAAAATTAAGAGTTTTACAGTTGTTGAGTTATGAGGCGAGAGGCAGTCAAGGACTACTCCTTAGTAAAGCGAGGAGCCTCTACAGATAACCTTTTCTTATATCTCCTTAAATGTTTCCTTCTAAATGTCTTAATAATAACAAATTTAAGTTGTTTGAACAACTAAAAATAAAGCTGTTATTTTGTAACTGTATATAGTCTGACCTCACTATATTTACCTCCTTTTGGTACCTTAGGATAAATTTTTGAAATTTGGTTGGCCACGGAGGGGACTGCTTAAGCGATACTCTCTCTGTTTAAGAAATCTTTCATTATAGTATACATTTTTTTAACCCCTAGAGTCAAACCCCTTTAACCCCAAGAGGTTTGACTGTAGCAGAAAATTATACATTGATCGCTGCTCTGAGTATTCTCGACAGTCCTTTCCCTTATAGGCCAGCCGTTAAGTAAAAAATGTTTAAAGGCTTTCTTTTTTTTCTTTTCATTTTCTTTTCAATTTTTTATTTTTACCCCCTTCCCCTTTTGTTTCCCCCTTCCGCCGCTCGCACCACGTTTTGTGTTAACCACACCCAAAAATTTTTTTCTGTGTTTCCTCCTTTCGTACACCCCCCTAACCTCCCCAAAGCAACTGATTGCGAACAATTCATCAGTTTTCCTCTCTCATTTTCTCAATTTTTATTATTTTCTTTTATTTTCCCCCTTATCGCATGATAATCAAGCCAAAAAATAATTTTTTTCTCAAAATTTACCACGCCCTTTTTTAATTAATAAAACTAACAAAACTAGTAATTAAATTGAAAAAAGAGAAGAATAAAAAAATTGTTTTAATTTCACACGCCTTTTTAAAAGTATATTTTTTTAAATTAAAGTTGCGAGCAAAGAAGAACATTTTAAATTAAATTTTTTAATGTTTTCAAATTTTATTTTTTTCTAATTTAAAGGGAAAAGTTTATTTATTTTTCTATGCATATTTTTAAACCTTTTATCAAATTTTAAAAAATAAAAAATATCAATTAGACATTAACGGTCTTTCCCGGTTTTATCTCTCTTTTGCAATTGTACATTCTTTCACATTTTGTCTAAACAAAATCTAGAAATTGGGAAATTATCAGAATTTTTTAAATTTTTGGTAAATATAATGCAGTAGAATTTCTAGATTAATATAAGAGACAAAATTAGGAAAAAATTAGGAAAACCATTTTGTTCTCTTCACACTACTAGTAATGCGAAGGGGACATTACATCGTAGTTCTCTTTCTTTTTTCGAGCTTTATCTGTCGTCTTTTATTTTTAAATAAAATTTTTATTAAAATTTTGGAATTTTTTATTAGAAATATTTTCGAAAATAGCTTACAATACCGTATATACTTGATTAATTCCCCTCCCTCAAATAATTCATCTCTCGAATAATTCCCCTTGCTACGGATGAGTTGAAACAATAATCCCCCTCCCCCAAATACCCTACTACACGTTCAAATTTCAAAACTCGAATAATTCCCCTCCCATCCACGGATGGGTTGAAACAATAATTCCCCAGGGGAATTAATCGAGCAAATACGGTAATTAAACTTAAAATAATTACAATGTTCACAATTCGATCAAAATTCTTTTTCCTTTGTTTAAAAATTTTAACAAATATTTTTTTTCTTAAGCTTTACAAAAAATTAATTTATTTTTTTATTAATTAATATGGTTTTGGAATGTTGTATAGCCGTTGTTAGAATAAGACCAGAAGCTTTATCTCAACTAGAAAAAATAAAATCTCAGAGACAAAAACAACAAAATTTTGAGGGTGACGAATTTTTCGGCCCGGCGGATTTTGATATTTTAATGGCCGTCCCACCTCCCCCTTTATTTGAATGTGGACCTTGTTCTTCATCGCAAGTACAAATTGAACAACAAACAGTTGAATTACCCCGTTGTTGGCCTCTGCCTGGGGAGAGGGCGGCAGATGCTGCTTTGAGATTTGTTGGGGATTTAGATATGTTGGTAATTTGTTTTTATTTTCTTATGAAAATACATATAAGTAATTAATAATCCAAAATATTAATTTTTATGAACTCGTTCTTGTGATACAGAAAATTTCTGACTATTTTTTATTTGGGGGTTATGTTGTAGGCAGGGTTGTCCTTTCAAACACGTTAAAATAGGGGCAGACACTCAATAAAGGGCAAAAATAGGGCGAAGTCGACCAAAAAGGGGCAAAAAATAGGGCATTATTTTAAGACAGGGCTCGGATCTCGAATTTCATTAAATCCGCAATTTTGAGCTAAAAAATCCGCATTTTATATCAAAAATCTGCAAAACTTTTTCGGTCCTTCGGGCCCGTAGAGAAAAGGGTTCTTCAAGGCCGTAGAGAAAATCTGACATTTTATACTAAGTGTAATTCCAATAAATTTTACGTAAATTTCAGTCAATTTCTCACCAAAGCAGTCCACATCCCTCCATCACGTTCAGACCACTTGGAAAGGCCTGAATCTTCAATTTCACGTCCTTCTCCACCTCTAACCCCTCTACAACAACAACTTCCTCCCCTTCTTTTCATTCCAATAATTCCTTCCACGAAAAGCCCCTTTCCAATTGTTAGCTCAGGACTTGAATTTTGTCCCTTTGCCACTGTCTTACATGCAGCAATGAATTACGACTCTTCTTTGGTAGAACCTTCATCACAAAATTTACTTGTTAGAATTGGGGAATGGCTAAGTTCTGGGCAATGTAAATCTGGCTCTGGATTTTTACATTCATTGTTCCTTATGCCCAGTAGTAGTGCGAAGAGAACATTACTTCATAGTGCTCTTTCTAATGAAACTAATGAGAGGTCTTCTTTGAGACTTGCTAGTTGCCAAAGGTAAAAGAATTTTTTAACTTTGAAGAAAATCATCAACAAGCGCCCTCTCGTCCGATAAGATTTAGTCTTTATTGGAGAGATGGGAGGAGAGATCATCCAATAAACTATTGGATGATCTCACTATTGGAGAACCATCCAGTAACCCACAGAACCTCACTCTTAAACCAACTCGCTGAATTCTTCACCTAGAGGTTGAATTCTTCACCTAAATTAGGACAGAAAGATATATTTTTATAATCATATCCTTCCAGAACAATAAGTCTAGAAAAAGAAAATGAAGGCGAGGGAATACAAAAACAAAAAATAGAACAAATATCTTCAATTACTAATGTTGAATTAAAAGTAGAAACAATTCATAATAAAATAATGAAACAACAAGAGAGGTTGAATAATGAACAACTTTTTGTTAATCCTCTCTTTGGAATAGATATACTAACAAAGAGGAAAGCAACGGTAAGGATCAGGCTTGTGATAGGATATTACATCTCATAGGAAGGTTGGCGAACACTAGAAAATCTTCGTATATACGGATCTGGTAACCACGAAAATATTTACGAACATCCGGTTTTTCCCTAATTCATATATTCGGATCCGCCAGCTATGCTCACGAGGGCTGGAATGTAAAGACAGGTGAACGGGGAATTAACAAAACGGGGTTAGCTAATCTTTTAAGCGTATTTCCCCTTTATTAAAATTTCAAGCATAAACTCAAAAATACTTTAGGCACCCGAATATTTTGTAAGAGGAAAACGGCGCGATATTGCTCCAAAAAGACAACGTCGAAGTACAGATTATGGTATATCTAATAAAGGGATTAGGCTGCACTTAATGGACACAGCGTTTTGGGAACAACAACATCCTTTACATAAATATGCCTTTGATGGAAATGCAGAGAAAATTAGGTTTGAAAATTTCGAAAATCTCGAAATGCTAGGAGAAAATTTAGGAAAGGATGGGGATGATTGTGTGAGTCAAGAACAATGAGAGGATATTTTAAGTAACAAGAATTGTCGTGGAAAATGAGAGAGAGTGAAAACAATGTACTCTTTGAATAGAATTGGGTGTTTATTTAACAGAAGCACGGGAAACTTAATATACTAAACATACCGAAATTCATCTCTAATCAGTAAAGGAGTTAATCCAAAATTCTTCTCACCTACTTAAAACAATTTTTTACAAATTTTTTAGAGAATTGCTCAGACAAGGCTCAGATCCAAACGAATTAGACAATGATTTTTGGACACCTTTACATTATTGTGCTTTCTATAACAGACTAGAAGCTTGTCAAGTTCTCTTATTACATCCAGATATGGATGTTAATATAACTAATAGAACAGGTGCTACACCCTTACATTTTGCTGCACTTAATGGACATGTTTATGTTGCTGAATTGATATTATCTCATCAATTTGCTGATATTGTGAGTCTAGAATTGAGTCCGATAATATAGCAATACAGGGATTCGTTGAATGGATTGGGTCTAAAAATTCGAATATGATAGGAAGCATCAGACTGTACTCACTCTCAACTTGTACAAATTTAACAATTTTAGAGTATTCGGGACTCTAACGGCAAAACACCTTTGGACCTTTGCGCACCTGTACCAAAACCGGATTGGCAAGGCGTTGCTTTTCTACTCCGTCAAAGCGACATCCTTCGCCCTACAAAAATGGAAGTCCAAATTGTTGGCGGATCTTCTTTACAAGTTGAGGTGGATGATATTGATAATGCAACAGCTGGAGAATTGAGAACTAAAGTGTTGGAAATGGAAGGATTAAAACATCCGTTAGCAGCGAATGCCGAACAGATTTTCGCAATTTGGCTAGTTGACTCTAGACTTAGTAAGCGCTACTTTAGATTATCACAAAGTTTGGAACAGTAACATTTAGGGATAGCTTGGAGAGTGTTGATAATTGGGAAAGGATCTATAAATTATCATCTGTTCTCCTATCTATCATCTTTCCCAAATTCATGACAATCTCAGGATGCTTGCCCTAAATGAGGGAAAAATAAAGGGGGATTCAATTACATTCATACTGTATTCTCTCTAACGTTGGCAGACTAGTTACTAATTTTCTGAAAAAAAATCTTTTTTTCTAAAAGGTCTACAATTAAAAGCCGAACAAAAAGTTCAAATTCACCTTAATAAATGGGAAGAACACTTAAATAAATTTGGAAGTGAATTAAACGAAGAATATTTACCGAAAAGTTTTGAGGAGGAAAGGGTTCATGTTGTGTTAAAGAGGGATGCGAGGACACTTTTGGGCGATGAACAGATGCTGGTGAGTTTTATTTTGGTCTGAAATAATTGAAAGTCTGAAAGCTAAAAAATTGATGTCAGTTTGTCTCTGTATGGGCACGCCGAATTCTGTGATTTTACACGTTATCTCAAGGACCACTACATATGGGCTCCAACCGCCATCGAGTAGAGTCGGAAATTTTCTACCTGAGAAATTTTCCGATATAAATTTTCTACATTAACAGTCCTGTCTTTTAAGCCTAATCTGTTTCGGCATCTCTAGTAACCCAATCCATTACCATTCACTAATAATAAGACACGAATTATGTAGGTAAAAATCAAAAAATTTTTCTGAGAAAATAAGAAAAATAAAAATTATTTAAAATAATTAAAATAAAAATTAAAGCAATTATAATTAATTAAACGTAAAATTAAAATTCCCTCTAAATTAAACAATTCATTTTCTTCTCCTTTCCATAATCAACTCTTCCCCATTAAAATATCTCAAAATTAGAATTGTTGTTAACAAAAATCCCAAAACTGTCCATTCCCCATATTTTTGTCTAATTCCTCCAGAAACACATCCATCTTCCTGACATCCACTTGTGCAAACCTAAAAAGGACATTTCATCCCATTTTCTTCCCTTAATTTACCTCAACAACAAGAGGGCCAGTTTCCCTTCGTCGATGGCTAGCAGGTGAATTCCCTACATTAATATCTGTTCCCGTGCCTCCAATAAAGTGCCGTTTTGCCCGTCTAAGTGATTTGTAAAGTGTACATCCACTGATTTCTTCTACAGTCCCACACCTTCTCTCAGTCACTGTTATCACTAAATATATATGTTGATTATTTTTAGATTTTTGTGCCTTTCTTATACATAAGTGATTTAAATTAGTTATTTTTAATGAATAGATGAAGGTTTGACAAGAAAAATAAAATGATTAATAGTAATTAGGAAGCAAATTTAGTGGAATGACTAGGGGTGTCGCTTAACTTAAGTGAATATTTTTCGGCTTGTTTCTTATCCATGAAACCGATAACACTAGAAATTATAGGAACGGAGGCTCTTAAATTTAAAAAGGAAGGTTTGGAATGTTGATGATCAGAAATATGTAGGACTTCATCCTTAAATCCCTCCTCAAACTCTCTGACTTATCACTTTATAGTTTGCCTAATCTACATAATAAGAGGAATACTGTAATGTGTCTTTAGACTCCAGAAACCTCAAAATTTAGAAACCGCCCAGAACCGTGGAAAAGTTCAAATTTTTTGGAATCGAGAATCACGAATACCTTAAAGAAAGATAAATCTATCGAGGGAATTTTAGGGTTAAAAATCTTTCCGAGAAATTCCTCACCTCCAGATTGTCTATAATAACTGTAAATGCAGTGTGTATGTGATGAATTCATACATTTAGTAGAAGGAATAAGCCCTTTCTGGCATCGGGAAATGTGCCTTTCATTTTCTTCGGGGGAATACCAAAGAGCTTGTCGATCGCATTGAATGCAATCCAAGGCTAATGCTAAAACAATTTTTATTTTTTACTACTATAAAATCCAAAATCTGACCATTTTCTGGTATTTTAACCAAAAATAAAATTAACAAAAATAGGCTGTATTGTTGTAAATATTTTTGAATAAAAATATTAAAAATTTGTTGTTTAATAAAAATTATTTTGGACACCATTGGACTAAATTGAGGGAGAGAAAAGTTTTTTAGAAATTCTTCTTTTCCTCTTGGCCAGTGGGAAAAAGCCTTTGGGGGCTTTAAAAGTATATAAAAGTTCTGGCAATTTAAGTATTAGAAAATTAGAAAGGGGATTAGCGGTGAGGAAATTGATAATCCGCCGAAATTCGCGCCTCTGGCGAAATTGAAAGAATGAAAAGGGGAGGTTAAGGGAAGGACAGTTAATTTATGGAATGGGAAAAATGAAGGAAAATGAGGGGCGGGAATGAAGAAAAATGAAGGTGGAGGAATTTTGAAGGGAGAGGGAAATGGGGGAGAGAGAAAGGGAGAGAATACACGTTTGGGCGCAGGAAAGGGCTGGCGCAAACTTAGAAAAGGATAGGCTGCCAAAGACTTGTATTCTTGAAATTTCCCAATTATAACCCTTATAATGTCTTCTAGCTTCTCTAAAATTTTCAGAATTTTTGGTTAACTATTTTCAAAGTTCTGGTCAAAAAACTCAAAGAAAATTGAAATTTCTTCTAAAAATGTGACATTTTAGACTATAACTGTCCAAATTTTCAACTAAAAATTCTGAAATTTTTAGAAAAAGTAAATGACACAATTGGAGATAAATAAACAAAATTTTGTGGTTCTAGGTTCTCATTTGGAAATGTTATAAGGATATGCCCAATGCGCCCAAACGTCCTTCAGTCTTGGGTGAGGTAGAAGAAAATTAAAAAAAAGAAATTGGAGCACAAAAATGGACGACGGGTAACTAAAAATGGTCAAAAAAATAGGAGGATGAATGTAAACAAAATGAGAAAATGAAAAGAAATTAAAGCTTAAAGGTGCAAATAATAAAAGAATGAAAAATGGGTGACTGACTATTAGTAGATAGCTGTTCTTTTGGGGATAAAATTAAAATAAATAAATAATAAATTTGTCTTTTTTTTAATTGAAAAATTTGCAAGAAAAATTATTTTAAATTAAAAAAAATAAATTAATTAAAATTAAAATAAAAAATAAAAAAATACAGGATCTTCCTGAGCCTTCGGGGAACCCTTCGGGGTTCGGGTGGGGTTTTTGCCAATAAAATCGTCGGGATACGAGGGACGGGGAACTACCCTAAATTACAGTATTCTTTGTCTTTTTAGGAGGATAGTCTTCTAACCCTAGAAATCTTAATAAAGCTTAGAACCGAAAAATTGCAGCAAAACAGAGACTGACTTTCCTTTAAAAACAATTTTTTCATTTTTATTTCATGTAGATAAAAAATATTTTTTCAGGCTCGTAAAAGTCATTTCATTGTTTCTTTGTTATATGGAGAAGCAGAAGGCCAATTTCTGAAAGGTATGCTTCCCTGTCATGAGAAGCATTATATTCCAATGGCTGCTATTGTTTCGCAAAGGTTGTATGGTTCAGGATTGCCCCAAAATATTGAGTAAGTTTGGCTGGAATTTCTATCTTATCCCATTTTATGGCTATGCGTTTTAGGTGATAGGTAATAAGGGGAATGTGGATTTCCTTCTTCCCACACATGGACCAATAAGGGATATGAAATGAGTGACCCTTTTCGTGATTCCTTAACAGCTAGGAATATTAAATGGGGATCTAGGATATGACAGGGATGTCGATAAAAATAATAAGAAATAAAAATAAATTATTATTTCAAGAAAAATAAGTTGTAAACCAAAAATCCGGCCTCTAGTAATTAGTCTAAAAATAATGCCAATATTGTTTTCTGAGTTTAGCTGCGCGGAAATTGGCAAAAGAAAATAAAGAAAGGAAAACACTCTCTTTATTTTAGGTTAGTAAGTATCCAAATGGATGAGATAATGGGCCTGGCATATAACAAAAAGAAGGAAATTGAGGGGAGGGAGGGAAGAGAGGAAGGAATGAGAGATTTGTTGAAAAGAATAAGAGAGGGGGGAGGGAGGTTGTTTTGGAATTTAAATAAAAATACTTTCCTGACAACCGATTTAAAAATATATTCTTCTCGAATCGAAGAAGGAACAATTGTTGCAACAAAATAGGTTTTTGAGAATGTGCGCGGGTTAAGGATTTGTAGGTATTTGAGGGAGTTGAAAGAAAATATTGAAAAATGAAGAGAGTGGTTTATTGAAGAGTATTAAGGAGATTTATGCGAATAAATTAGGTATATGTATGTATGTCGGGATGAGTATATTAAAAGTAAGTAAAATTTTTATCCTTCTAGATATGACATTTTTTAAAAAATTCTCTATCCCATAATTTTTAATCTTTAGAAAATTCGATGTGATTTAGTTCAAAGATACGGAAACTTCGCTTCTGTAAAGCGAAGATTCTCTATTCACTTCCCTTCTGAAAAAAAGTAAAAATTTTTTTTATAAAATTCCCTCACACATGATTCCAGTATATCAGAGAATTTTGATATACGGGATTTTTGAACTATGTAGATCCTGTCTAGATTTAAATTCTATTCAGGGCCAGCATTCTCTGGTCCTTTTGGGAATTTGTTTTTTACAAAATATCTAAATAAATAAGCAATTTTTCTACCAAAAAAGTCACCAAAAACTTTCATATTAACATAAAAATATTCAAAAAATGCCAGAAGAAAGTAGTCGACTTTTGTATTTTTTTTGAATTAAATAAATAGTTTTGTGGTGAATGACTGGGAAAAAGCTAAGTAAAATACAAATGTGCTTTTAAACAATAAAAAAGTATTAGACAAAGATGGGCAAAGAATTTTGGGGGGAAAGTAAGTAATGAGATTTGTCTAAAAATGGGCAAATTCTCAGAATAATCAACAAAAATTTTAATTTTTGAATAATTATTTTCTAAATGATTTTTGAGTAGATTTAAGAGTAAAGACTGAGAGTTGAAAAATGGTCAAGATTCAAAATAGATATTTTGAGAAATCTCGATTTTGATAACTGGAATTTTTAAATTAGATTTACTTCTCTATTCTGAACCTTCAAACTAATGATAATTACTAATACCGTATTTCTTCTAATAGTGCGACTCTCTCTATTAGACCGACACCTTCTAATAAACCGACCCCCTAGAGGAAGGGGAAAAAATAAACCGACCGGTCGCACTATTAGAAGAAATACGGTAATCTTGCCCGCAACAAGCAAAGAAACTCAATCAGTATTCAAGGCACTTTTTGTCAGGATTTCTTTGGCGGGCTAAACCTAGATTGAACTAACACTGACCAAAAATGCGGATTGCGCAATTTGGATGCGGATTTCGAGAAAAACTTTCTTTTAATTTTGGATAATTATATAAATGTTAGTTGGTCAATAGAAAGACTTAAAAATAATGAAAAAGAAAAGTCTAAGGAATATCCTTAAAACGTCAATTTTCAACATTTTTATTGCTTTTTTAAGCAATTTTAAGGCTATTTTAAACAAAATATAGGAAAGAAGGTTTAAAAAAGGAAAAATAAATATAGGAAGTTTCAGTAATTGCTTCTTTTCCGGAGTTGTTGAAAGTCAAAGAGTAGTAAGGGAAGGGGAATAAGTTATGTAAGGGGGGGGGGATTAGTGGAGGGAAAGGAAAGGGAGGGATTTTTTCATACAAAAATTATTAGTTATATATTTTAATACTTGTTTTTATGGATTTGGAAAAAAGGAAGAGGAATAGGTATATACCTTTTTTGGGAGGTTTATTCTACCAAATCGCGCGTATCGCGTAAACCTAATGATCCTTGAAGGTGTTATTAAAGAAAAGGCTAACTAACAAGTAAGGAAAATTGAGAAAAAAGAAAAAAATTTGTAAGAAATAATAGAATAAATTTAAATAAATTAAAGTTTTTATTTTAAGTTATTATTAGGTGATAATTTGGAAAAAATGAATTTTTAAAATTACAAGAATGATTTTAACAGCTAACTTTTTTTGTTTAAAAAAGCTACAAAAACAAGTGAAATAAATAAATATAGGGAGAGAATAGGATTAATTAATGAAGAGTCAGATAATTAAGATTAATTAATTAATTAATTAATTGAAGAAACTTCGAATTTTTGCTGTAAATTCTTAAAATTAAATTGCGGATTATAGCTGCGTAAAATTTTTTCGATTGCGGATAACCCTGATTAGAACCCTTTTTTCACTAATAGCTCAGTCTGAGTTCAGTCAAATTATCAGAAGTCATAAAAATTATTAAAAAGACTTTACTAGTGCCCGGCGCCTGACCGGATCCGGTCGGATTTTTTAGGAGTCCAGGCCCGAAATCCGGGGATTTCCGAACTAAAACTGGATCGGGTTAATCCGGAAAAATCCGCCCTAATCCAGCCCGGCTCAAGTTGCAAATCTGGTTCCGGCAAAATCTATTTTGCCGAGCACTAGCCTTTACAGATTTTTTAAAAATCCCCTTAATTAATTATTAAAATATTCTCCCATTGTAGTTCCCAATCCACAATTTTTCCTCAATTTTTTTTATTAAATTTATTTTTCTTTTTTTAGCACTCGTTTCCTGTCACGCATTTTACCCTCTTATTTAGTACCACAAACAACGGAAATTAAAACATTTTCTTCATTACTTTCAAAACTCAAACAAGCACGTAATTCTCTTACTAATCTAAGCCTAATACAACTACAATTACGTTTTCTTTCATTGTGTTGGTCACTCAATGTTTACGGCTGCACTTTCTTTCGTGCTTTTATGCTTATGGCCAAGGCAAGAAAATTTTTATTAAAAAAATGGAATGAAATGTTATGAGGGGGATTTTATATTAGCTTGGCTAATTAAATACAGGGTGCGGCAAATTAAGCGCGCGTTTGTTTTTTGCCATAACTTTCTTTAATTTTAATGAAAATTGATAATTCTTTTTTTGTTTTATTCCCAACACTTTAGGAAACTTGCTGATACCAAAATTGCTTTTTAATTTTAAGTTTACTCTGAGTAAACTATCCTCAAAGTTTGAGCAGAATTTTTTGGATAAAAATTGGCCTAGATTCAAGGCTGAGATTTTAATATTGGAAATGTTTATATCATTCGAATCAGCTCTTCATTCTGATTCGAATGACATAAAAATCAGGGGGCTACGACAAAAATCGAATGAGATACGGTCCTCTGAATGATAAATTAAAATAATTTTGATAAAAATAAAATTTTTGTGTAAAATTTTCAAAAATGAGATTATAAGCTATTTCGATGCTCCTGAACGAGATGAGTCGTTTAGTACCAAAATCATTGGTATTGAACGATTTTGAACGAAGTTATGATCAATTAAACTTTGGCATAAAAAATGTTTTTAAATTTTCCAGACGTTCGAACTCGATTATCTTTGCCAACAGTGAACCAAATTTTTAATATTTGGTATCAGCAAGTTTCCTAAAGTGTTGGGAATAAAACAAAAAAAGAATTATCAATTTTCATTAAAATTAAAGAAAGTTATGGCAAAAAACAAACGCGCGCTTAATTTGCCGCACCCTGTATTAAATATTTATAGTAAATTGGAGGGAATTGACATTTTAAATTTGGGCGTTTCGCAAAATTTTAAATAAATGGTCAATGTGGTAAAGGATTTGGTATATCCGAAAGTTAAATGAAGGTATGATAAAGGTACAACGAGTCTTTCCAATGAGAACCTCCAATTGGGAGCCGGGCTGCACGCAATTGATAACAACTCCCAATCAGGAAGTATGGAAGAATGAAAGCACGAAAGAAAGTACAGCAATTGCGGATGCGGATTTTCAAAATAAATTGTGGATTGTGGCTGCGGGAAATTTTTTTAGTTGCGTGCACCCCTGATTGGGAGTTGTTATCATAAAGTTTCAGTATACATATATCACTGAGATTGTACACAGAATGTGTTGTCCCACCAGTTAATTACTAGGGAGATTGGGCTTATCCACCCAGGGACAGCAGGGGTGGGCTCTTTCCTGTCTCACGAGATCTAGTGTATTTTGGCATTTTGATGTTTTTAAATTTATTCTGTTAATCCCGGGCTATATTCAAAAAAACCCAAATTTTTAGTTAAAATAGAAGAGAAAAGTTTTGCCAATAAATTTAGAAAGAAAATGAAGGGGAGAGAATTTCCGGTCAGTCAGTCCTCTAAGCCAAATTCCCACGTTTGAGTGGTGAAAGGAAGTATGGAAGAATGAAAATGAATTAATGAATGAGGGAAGTTTTGGAAGGGAAAAAGTACTTTTTTTGTTATTATTTTCTTTTTTTTAATTCTATTCATTCATTTTCATTGGGGCGTAGAAATCCTTGGCCTTTTTCCTTTTTAAAGTGTTTTCCTTTTAAAGGATGAGGGAGGAAAGAGGTGAATTTTTAGAGATAATATAAAGGGAACAATGTGAATTAGAGGTGAATTTTTGGATGAAATCTTTAAGGAAATTTTGACATAAAAATTTTCTTGGGTCAGCTTTTTGATAGAAGCGTTTTGAGAATTTTGGGAGTATAGGATAACAAAGAAGATAAAGCGAATTAACTGTTTCTAAGAAAAAGACTTAGATGATTTTAACTGGCAAGAATAACTGTTGGGGAATTCACGGAATGGAATATGGAATAGAAACATCATGAAAGCTAGACCAGAGCACAACTGATTTTTATTCCTTGCAAGCAGAGGTAGCCGGAACAGTCAGAGGTGTCGAAAATCGAAAAAAAAAACCTTTATCCCTTCATATCCACCTTAATCTCAAGGAGTTCTATGAATTTTTTATTTTTTTAAATTTTTTAAAGGATGAATTTCGGCATCTTTGCCTCCAAAATTCTCAAAAATTTCGCTCCGGCGGCAAAAAAAGGATGAATTCTGGCTTCTGGGAATCTTGAAAATTCAAAAAATTTCGCCTGCGGCGCTAAAATGAAATGAACAGTGGTTTTTAAGTCTTTATAGACTCTAAAAATTTTGGCGTTTGGCGTTTTGGCGTTGATTTTGGCCGATTTTTGGCGTTTGGCGTGTTTTTAAAATTTAAAAAATTGGCGTTTGGCGTTTGGCGCGCCACGCGAAAATTTTGGCGCACAGCCCTGGTCGGAACTCGGAAATCGGAAATCAAAATTTCTTTTCGGAAATCGGAATTCCGACCCACCTCTGCCTGCAAGTAATGGCAAAACAAGGATAGTATAGTATTCGAGTTTTTCTGTAGATCTTTTAGGATTTATTTGGAGAATAGGCATGAATTTGAATTAAAGAGAAATAATTTAAAAATAATAAACTATAAAATAAATCTCTTAAAAAAGAAAATTTTTAAAATTATTCTTTTTTAGCCTATCCGTGGCAGCATTCAAGTACATGTTGGCTTAAATGATTGGGGAATGTCTGTATTAAATTCAAATAGCCATAGACAAATAGCGGCTATTGAACTAAACAAATTGGAAATTAAATTTACTCCAAACACAAATTTTTTGGAAGTTCAAGGGGAAGGAGGGTGTAAATCTGCTGATTTTGTTGCTACAATTACTACACCTCAAGTGAATAATTATTTTATTAATTTTGTTTTTTTGGAAAATTTTTTAAAAACCCCGTTATTATGGGCTACTTTTAAGAATTTTTTGGGTGGGTACACCCCAAGGTACCGCAGGCTCGAGGTACCGCAGAGCTTTAACTTCGTTCAGAATAGTCGAATCTGGGACGCCCTGTTATGGTTCGATTCGGCCTGTCGAGGCGCATCGAACCATACCAGGGCGTCCCGGATTAGATTATTCTGAACGAAGTTATAGCTCTGCGGTACCTTGAGCTTGTGGCACCTTGGCCTGCTCCCGAATTTTTTGGTAAGAGAGGATTTGAGGGAATTCCTTTACAATAGAGCAATCCCTGAGAGATCGGAAATAGCTATTCAATAATTTTTAATTGAATTCAGAAAAATATTTTTTAGAAAACAATTTTACTCAATAAGTTGCCTTAATTTTTGAACATCCTATTAGCCTCAGAAATTTATTTCCCTATAATGACCTTGAAAGGGGTTGATTGAGGTGAATTCGTTTATTTGTTTGTTTTTGTGTATCTGCTTGTTACCTTGATTTGTAAGATTAAAAAAGGGGAAGGAAAGAGTTTTGAGAAAAAAAAAGAAAAAATTGTTGTTGTTTCTTGCTGTTGCGGACGACCGAGTTTGGTAGCCAATTAGCCTAATGTATATACATAATATTAAATATATGAATAAAATCTCTTCAAAAAATTTGGGGGAAATATTTATAAAGAAAAATGTGAAGAAAATTTGGGAAATAAGTTGAAAGGGAATTGGACAATGAAAAGGGGAAGGGGGGGGGGTAGGTTGGGGGACAGAGGAGGGGGGGGGGGGATATATGGAGGGAGGGGAATAGGCTTCTTTTTAGTTTAGGGAGGGGGATAACAATAATAATAATATTTTGACAATGAGAAAAGGCATAATACATATATTTTTGGAGAACAATGAAGAGGAAAGAAACGAAAAGCTGAATAGGGGGAAAGTTGGGAAGGGGGGAGGGTGTTTGAAAAAGTTCATTGTAAAAATATATTTTATTATTAAAATTCTGCGCGGCGGGAGAGAAAATCACTGACGAAAATTAGTAATGACCATTGAAAAGTGAAAGGATATAGAATAGGGATAGTTGAGAAGGCTAGAAGATATATTATCAAAACTCATATTGAATTAATAGTGTGATCTGGAAAAAATGAAGATAAATGACTGATCTGATCTGAGGACATTCTACCTTATTTCGCCTTTATATTAAGGGAGAGTTAACTTTTTCCCGCTTATAAAGTTTGCACTTGCCACCACGATAAGATTAATACCCCATTATCAAAGCCTTTTATGATCCTCTATTCTAAACTACCGTATTTACTCAAATAATTACCCAGGGTAATTATTGTTTCGATCTTTCGCTGGAGGGGGTAATTAATAGGGAAGGGGTATTTATTTAGAGAGAGAGAGTAATTATTTGAGTAAATACGGTAAGGAGTATAAGATTCTTTGTGGGGCTAGGGCTCCAAATTCATTTTATGAATAAAATATAAAATAAAGAATTGAACATGCTAGACTAATTTTAAAATATTTTGAAGATTTTAAAAATAAAAATGACTAAAAACTGAAAGAAAAACAAGCAAAAAAGTGTGTCAATGTTTTTACTGAACAGGTGATGGGAAGATATATTAAATTGCATTTGGGTGAATTAGGTGAGGAAAATGAACAGAAATGAGTAAAAAGGATTGGAGAACGGATAAAATAAAACCGGAAGGGAAATGAATGAAGAGGTAAAAATGAGAGAAACAGCTGCCCTTACACCTCCTAGTGTGTACGGCACACTTACATCTTTCCAAAATTGGATGGCTCAATCTGCTGTAAAATTGGCTATGGAGACAGGGCATGAGCCTTTCCTTGTATTTATTTTCTCTTTTTTTATTCGGATAGTTGACTGAACAGTGGTCACGAATGACAGGGAAATTATAGGGGAAAGGGCCACATATGGGGAAATTATGAGGTGGGGGCTAAGCAATTACATAAGGTTTGACGAGGATGGGGGATTCTGGCTTAAAATGGGTGTTTTCATGAATTCAAATATTTAATTGTAAAGAAATGATTTTTGAAAATTTTTTCAGAAAATATGTGAATGGAAAATTGAAGTTTTTTGCCCAATCAAATAACCTAGTCTGAAGGGAAAGAAGATCCTTATAGTGTGAAAGGAACACTCACGTTTATTTTATCCTACCCTAGCTTATGGTTGTGGGTAGGGTTGTGGGCCCGGTTCGGTTCAAAGATCGAACCGGGCCTCAAATTTTGGTCCGACAGACTTGAACGGCCTGGAGCGATAAAAATAAGGCCCGAAACAAATAACTAGAAAAAACGAATCGAACTCGAAAATCGATTCGGTCAAACGAATCAAAAAATCTTAGCTTTAAAATTTCATTTTACTGTATTTTCGTTAACATAATAATTTTCTAAAATTTTTATTTTCAGGCCTTACTTATCAACAATTTATTCAAGCAATTAAAACTCAAAGTTTCGGCTGCCAAAAATGCTGAAAAGGTTGCAGAAACATCTTTATAAAGAATTTTTTTCTTTAATATATTTTAATGCCCATATTAATTTATTTTCGTCTTTTAAATTTTTAAATTATTATTTTTAAAATGCAAATTTTTATTTTTGTTAATTTTGTCAAATTTTGAGTGTTTTTCTCTTTTATTTTCAAAATAAAGAGAGATTTATTTTTATTTTTATTGCCACTTTATTTTGTGACCAAGTGCGTGACCAATTGAAAAATAAAAGGAAATAAGCCAAACAATATTGCCAAAATGGAAGGGGAAGAAAAGGAAAGTGTAAAGGTTTATGGAAATTATTATGGGACTTATTTTGTAGTTAAAATTTGTTTTGGATTTAGGAGGATTCGGAAAAGTCGTCTAAATAAAGGATAAAATTTGTGAGGAGATTGGTAAATAAATATTTTTAAAATAAAATTAAAAATTTTTAATTAATCGAGATAATATTTTGAATAACAAAATAGAAACTTTAATATCTAGATACATTAAGGGAATAATTAAAAAGATAAGGATGAGCTGTGGTAGATATCAGAGGTGGGTCGGAACAGTCAGAGGTGTCGGAAATCGGAAGAGCCGGAAATCGGAACTGGCTCAAAAGTCGGAACTCGGAAATCAAAATTTTTTTCGGAAATCGGAAGGAAAAAAAGTCAGAAATCGGAATTCCGACCCACCTCTGGTAGATATACAAAAGTGTATACAGACCCGACTCGGCCTTTTCTTAAGCCGATAATGCAGATTTTATTATTTGGAATGGGTGGGCACAAATAAAAGAAACAGAAGGGGGGGGTATCTAAAAAGAAAAGTCGTCCCCTTCACATTACCATCTATGCGTACGGCACATTAAAATATGGACATTATTTGGAAAATTAAAAATACAATTTTTTAAAAATATTTTAAAATTATTAACATACAAAAACGGATTTTCAGATAAAAATAATAAAATTCGCTAATTCACTAAAATCCCCATATAAGAGACAAGTAAAAGGATGAACATGCAAATACCTTTATTATATCAAAAAAAGAACAGGATCAGCGAGGGGAAATTAAAAAAGGGAAGGTCATTGGAAAATGAAAGGAAAAAATATAAATAAATAATTAGTTATTTTTCGGTATATTAGCAAAAACAAAGCCGGAAAACATACAAAAACGGATACGAAAAAAAGAAAAATTATTACAAGGACAAAAAAGAAAGCCGCTAAAATATATATAAATAAAAGGATAAGGGAGACAATAGAGAAGAAAAAAGGGGGATTCTTATTTAATAAAGGGAAAAAAGTAAAAAAAAGGGAATTTTGAAAGGTTTTTTCTCTTCAAAAAATATTTTTGAATAATTACAAGTAAATAAATTTATTCACGTTATAATTGACCTAACGATGAAAGTATGTAGAAGTGAAATTTGTTATTTGCGAATAAACGGAAACGGCTATGAACCCTAGAGGCGACCTCTGCTCATGACAGAATCCTGTGAATAATACATATAAACTAGGGTTGCACGAGACCGTTTAAAACGAGACTTTTTGACCCCTGTGGCAGGTCAAAAAGAGAAGAGAGAAGGAAAAAGTCCGCCACAGGAAAAAATAAACGAGGAATTAAACGGTCTCGTGCAACCCTAATATAAACCTGATAAACATTAAAGAAGAGGGAAAGGGGTACCTCGTCTTTTGGTCTTATCGGTGTGGATCCCAGATTTTTTAGAAGATATTGCATACATGTTCATGCATGCTATGGAAAAATTCATTGGATGGGATGTGAGTCAGACTGGTCCAGAGAGACTGAGCCTGAGAGAAGAGAGATGACTGAGCCTGACCTGAGCTCAGTTCAACCAGACTGAGCCTGAGCCCAGACGAAGCACAACCGACTGTGCCAACATCCAACCCCAATGATGGGTTATTTATTTTCATCTATATTCTTTTAAAAGTGCGGATACAACAAAACCCTTATGCAATTTATGCAAAAAATTTAGATTTACAGTTAAAAAGAGGTGACTAAAAAAGGAAACTGTTCCTATTGAAATAAAGCTATCACTGGGGGTACAGCGAACGATAGCTTAACTGTTAAAACTCCAATAGTTTTTTCTAATAATTTTTTAGTAAAATAAAAGCTTTAAAAAATTGTAGTTTTTATTTTAAAAAGTGTGGAAAGAGGAATAAATAAATGAAAAAAATGTGTGGAAATGAGGAAATAAACAATAATAGAAAATGTAATGGAGGGTATTTTTTGTTTATTTGTTAAAGCAAAAACTTTATCTCGACATTTTCTCTTAATTCCTTGTAATCCTCCAACCAACCTATTAATTAAGATAAAATCTCAGAATAAATCTTAAAGGAAAGAATTTCCACCTCAAAATAAATTTGCGGACCTCAAAGTTAAAATAATACCTACCTCAACTTCACTTATCTATTTATTTAAGCTGTAAATAATGTCCTAAGTAACAGGGATCTAGCCGACATAAAAATCAAATCCAGATTTTCGGGAATCGGCATTATCGACAAAAATCCGATTCCCGATTTTCTGGAATTGTGAATCATGTTGGCTAGATCCCTGCTAAGAAAGCAATTAACTTTTGGGGAATAGGTATTTATTATAAAAATAAAAACTGAATTTGAATCAGAAAAGTCAGACCTATAATAAACTTTGTGGGATCTCCTTAGCCTTAAATGCGGAGATATCTCTAATCGGGCAATAAAACTACCTAATTTAAAGCCTACTTCTACATACATATTCTTTACCTAAATAAGCGCCTCTCAAAAATTCCCTTCACTCAGAAAATTCCAAAACGCGTCCTCAATTAAAAAAGAAACCCGTACCTCTTCCTTTCTACAAAACCTTTCATTGTTTTTTTAATTTATAAAAATTGTCCCCATCGATTTATCTGTCAACGGCAAAAAACAAAACAAAAACGTTTTTAGTGGCAGTCTCCTCATTCCAATTAAGCCAAAAATGGCTATATAAAAGCTATTCTTCTTCTTCTTTTTTGTGAAGCCTTCAAACAGATGTGTGTGTAGACTAAATACTAATTGGAATTTCCTCCTTTCTTTTAAATGTCCTCCCTCTTGTTTGTTGTTTTTTCTTCAAAGAGAAGGGCAATAAAAAAAGGAAAAGTGAAAAAGATGGATGCCATTTAGTGTTTTTAATGGAAAAAAAGTTTTTTCTGAATTTATGGCAAAAATTGAAAATAAAATGGGAAATAATTATTAGAGGTGGTTGGAAATGATGGAATGGAAAGAAATTTTGGCAAGCGGAAATGTACTTATTATAGTAACAGTGCCCGGCGCCGCACCGGATTCAGCCGGATTTTTCCGGAGTCCGGGTACCAAAAGTGGGGGGTTTTTACAATTTCCGTAATTTTTCTGTTTCGAATTAATCTAGAAAAATCCGGCCAGATCTGGTCCGGCTCTAGTTAGAAATCCGGAATCCGGATCCTGAAAAATCGAGCATAAAAGCAATAGTTCGAGTGATCTAAGTCTGCTGTCCTTCTTGAACTTTAACAAACTCTCTGAGCATCGGAAAGGAAAAAAGTGTAGGGAAACATGGAAGATGTTAGTGTTTTTTGCTTTATTAACTAGAGTGTCTTCGATATATACATAATTAAAAGTATAAATTCCTAGTATCCTTAAATTTATAATTAATTGGTCCCTCTGTTAAAAAACTATTAAAAATTACTAAATATTAAAAAACAAACAATTTTTAATTTTTTAATGTAGTAAAAATATGTGTATATTTTAAAGAAATTTAAGTAAAAAAATAGAAAAATTTCCTTTTTAGAAGAAGTAAAAATAAAGTAAAAATAAAAGGAAATAAATATAAAAACATTTTTCTGGCATCAAAAAAAGAAAGGTATGTTAATTGCCTATTTTTGCCAAAGAAATTGTGTTAAAAGTAAAATAAAAAGGAAAGAATCGATGCCGAAATGCGCAGTAAAATAAATATTAGTTTTGAGGTGCTTAAATGGTTGAAAAATTAATTTAAGGGTTTTTATTTATTTTTAATATTTTTTTATTAATTAAGAGTATATTTTAGAAAAATTTTTTTGGTATTATCACACATTATACGCCACCATTTTATTTTTCTTCACCTTTTCCTTTCTCAGAAAAGTACACATTGGTCAAACTAAAATACCAGAGGAAAAATACCACAGGAAAATTTTTTTTTAATTTTGAAGGAATGATGGGGGGTTTTAAAATAATTAAATTAGTGAATTTTATAAATTTAAAAATCACAAAAATACATATAATTATTTAGTTCTTGATTAAAAATTCAAAAGTAACTTTAGTAATTTATTAATACTGTTAATTGTTATTGGAATCGTCACAGAATCCCTAAGAAAATTTTCCAGGATCACATCTCAAAATCCCGTTCTTTTGTAATTTTCGAGATTGATTGTATTCTTGGAATTTTGGATTAATCCCGTTGGATCTGTCAATGATACTTGCTAATTTACTACAAAATACCGTTTGTCTCTAATACAAGCCCTGGGCGTCTATTTTCGATAATTTTTATCCAGTAGGCTTCTAATAGGGCATGGGCTTCTATTAGAGACAATACGGTACTTATGATTTTCTTCTGTTAAGAAATTTTTCATTTTTTTTTCAAATTAATTTAATTAAAAATATTTTCCTTTTATTTACATATTACCCCAAATAAAATTAATTTAAAAAATAATGTTTTCATGGAAGAATGGATTTTTAAAAAAAATAATGGAAAATTGTAGTCGAGAATGTAATAAATATATATTTTGGGGATAATTAAACTAATGTATTTTTTTTGGATTTAAAAATGTTATAAATAGGGAATGATGATTAATGGATATTATTTTATTTTTATATTATTTTGGAGGAAAAAATGAATGAAAGGAAAATAAATTTTTAGGGGAAATAACGGATAATTTAATTTTTGACGTTTATTTATTTAAAAATAAATACTTTTTAGTGGTGATAATTGAAGTGACATTTACATAATTATTTAAAATAGGGTGTTTCTCCGTCCCCCATACCCCGATTCAAAAGTCAACCCCAACCTCGACACTTCGAACCCCGAAGGCTCGGGGAGCTACTCAAATTTAAAAAATGTCGAATTTTTATATAATTACTATTAAATCAATCAATCCTTAAAATTTGGAAGGTTGCCTTATTTTTTGCATGAAAAAATTTAGGCGCCTCAAAATCCTTAAAATCCTCAATTAAAACCTCAAAATCCTCAATATCCCCTTTAATCCCTCTATATCCCCTTTAAATCCTCCGATTAAACTTGTAAGGAAAAAAGTTAAAAAAATTTGTGTTGATCAAAAGTTAGAGGTCTTCAGAGGTGGACTCAATAACTTCACTCTAAATTATTTAAAAATAATAATATTTCTTATAAAAATTCATAAAGCTTTTTTAACTTGTAAAAATTCTTAAATAATTTTTAAAAGAATTTTTTAAATTAAATAATTTGACCCTATATGAAATGAAGTCCCAAATCAAATTTTTCCATCTTCCTTAAAATGAGTAATTTCCTTTACATTTCTCTCTATTTTTGATTTGTGCCGTAAGGCTATAAATTGAAAAGAATTAACTGAACGTGTGTTCGTGTGTTTATGACCGTGTGTGTCCGTTTCTCTGTCTGTGTCCGTCCGAGTTCGTCCGTGTTTTGTCTGTCCGAGTCCGTGTTCGTGGAACCGGTAAAGGTCCGGAACCGAACCTTGGAACCGGCAAAGGTGCAGAACCGATTTAGAACCGTTTCTGACGACTCGGACAGACAAACACGGACGAACTCGGACGGACACAGACAGAGAAACGGACACACACGGTCATAAACATTCGTTCAGTTAATTCTTTTCAATTTATAGCCTTACGGCACAAATCAAAAATAGAGAGAAATGTAAAGGAAATTACTCATTTTAAGGAAGATGGAAAAAATTTGATTTGGGACTTCATTTCATATAGAGCCAATAATTTTATTAAAGCAAACAAAAAATATTAGTTAAACAAAAAAGTAATAAATAAAAATATTTATTATATGATGGCAATCTTCGCCCCTTTATTTCTTTGTCCAAAAATTATTTTAAAAGAATTTCTTGTTTTCAGCCCTTCAGGGGATGTATTTACAAAGACATATTTTTAGCCTTTCACTTTTTAGTAGATTAGTGAAAATGAGGAAAAAAAATATTTTTTAAATGAGAAAAAGAATTATTGTTATTTAGTACAATGTTGTAGTACAAAGAAAAGGATTATAGGAGGGTTTTTTATGAAAAAATAATTTCCAAAAAATAAACATAAAAAGACCTCAAAAATTACTTTAATTAATAAAAAATGTCTTTTATTTTGAAAATTTCCGAGAAGTACCATTATCATAACTAAAAAGCGGGCTTTTATGCACGTGAAATTGGCATGATTGTGTAATGCAAATAAACAGTTTCCGCCAACAGTTTTTTTCGTACCTGCCTAATTTTGGCTCGTACCTCTTACCTCCTCTATTTTTGCACACTCTTACTTCATACCTAAGTACGAGTCGAATTGTGATACGAATTTCCAACCATTGGCTTCCGCTTGTTTTGAAAACTTTAGAGGGGATTTCTATTTGCACATAATGCATATTTTTGCATATGATTTTGTTGCAGAATCTCTATTTTATAGTAATGTCAGAAAAATCTGATTAAATAATTAAAAACAAATCCTTTTATTATTCATTCAAAAAGTTTTTAACAAAATCGTTTTTACAATCTTTTTCATTCCAAAATTTATTTAAATCAATTATATTTTCTTTTTTTGTTTCAAATTGTTTAGTGGCATATTCACAAATTTTGCATATTGGTGAATAATCTAAACCAAATTTTCTTTTTGTGTATGTTTTTGTCCATTCAAAATGTCTAAATTAAATTTTAAATTTATTATAA